CTACTGAAAAAAAGTAGCGCACCAGGTTTCCCGGGCTAGTATTAAGTCGCTTCCGTACGTCGCCATAGTTGCGTCGGTTACTACCCGCCATTTTGCGGGAGTCCCGGATGTCTGCGCCGCCTCATCATAGAATGCAAAACGCCAACTCAACTACCCTCTCCTAAACTCATCTTTCACCACTTGACAAGAAGAAAATAACACATTGAACACATGAAAAATGCCCTTAAGAAATGAACAAATATTGGATTACCTGATTAAGTGCAATTTATTTCCAGATATGTCATCATTTTGACGGGAATAAGCTGATTCAGTTGCGGAAAACTACAACCTTATGGGCGATAAAAACACACGTAGTGCCCAAGCCCTACTCCATTTTCGGAAATGAACCTAGAATCTCAAAAATTCTCGCCCGTTGCGGATTTTCACGAGAGAGGTGCCAGATATAGAATAGACCAAAAGAGGGCGCTCTAAAATATTAATGGCCATCATAATCAGGGCAGCTATAAATGAAATTTAGGATTTTCAACCTTTCCATCTTCGTCCGTTCTTTTTCTCTGTTTTCTTTTGACCCTGTTTTTTAACTTCATACTTAGGCCTATTTATATTCATAGGAACTAGTAAAGCTGCAAAAGTAAGTAGTCTGGCTGCAATCTTTTTTACATTAAAGTATAATGAGTGTGTGGGATCGGCTCATTGCGAGCCACTTTAGGGCACGACGGTTCCCCTTCAGTTTTCAGTGTTCTTTCGTCGTGCGTCACGCGTCCTCCATCGCGTCGATCTGGGGCTTATTTCATAGAGCTGCTGAAGCACAAAATCTGCTTAAGCATGATAAAACCTTGCTTCCAAAACCAAAGGATTCCAGCTCAAACTCTATCTGATTGTCATGCTAACCAAAAGACAACTAAATACAATCCCAAAACAATATACATCACATGGAGTTTCGGCTGGTTACCTGATTGACTAAGCAAGGCCTTCTTGCGCTTAAGCAAATTTTGTACTTAATCAGCTCCGTGAAATTGGCCCCAGACGCTTAGTTTACAGAGATGCGCAGTTTACTGATCTATCTAACGTCTCATGAGACTTCTTGCGGACAAGATATGTTTGTGCAAAAAAGAAATCATTTCTTTTGGAGGATTGGCCATTAGTTTGGTCCCCTGACGCACTTTTTTGTGGCGGTGAAAAACAAAAAGCGCTGACTGTGAGGTTATTTTTGAACTTTTCTCTAGCCAAAAGGTGCTAGGCAACATTGAAAAAGAATCACCGAATTGTGCAAAAATTTAAACGCATCGTTTGGTTTCAAAAAACGCATATGTTTGACAATTACAAAAAAACTGACCTTCGGAATCCTACAGTCCATCGGCTCCCTTGCTGATGTGGATGTCGTGGCAAGCATAGATGAATTAACATACTGATACAGATAATTTTATGACACAATTTTGATTGAAATTCTGTTTAACATATAAAAATTGATTGACTGTAACCAGCTAGTGGGCCGAGTCAGCTTGGAGATACTTACATAATGTAATGTCCAGCCCCCCCCCTTTTCTCCTTTTCTCCATGCTACACATGCTTACAGCCTTATTATTGCTTGCCTGAGTTCTTGTATATTTAACAAAAAATTTATTCATAATACAAGTATTATCGATGTGGCCCTTATTTTGACTGCCAGCTTTCAAGTTTACTTTACTTATGTAAGTGTCGGTCTGGCGCGCATGGCGCGGTGGGATAAATTTTCATGAGCAAGTTGTCTAGGCTGCGCTTCCTGAGACGCATTGCGCGTCTGTGCACGTCCTGTCCTTTAATAACACATTTAAACTCACTTTGAGCTCGACCTCAAAGGTATGAAGTCGCAATAATAGAGCCTGGAAGTAAAAGGTCGCGCAGCGAGCTTCCGGAACCCTTGCGCGGTCTGCCTATGAGCATTTTACAATGGGCTGTCGTATAGCACGTTCGATAATTTTTGGAAGAATAATTCCTAATTTAAACCACCCCATGAAACACTCGTGTTGGAATTTTACCTTTGCCTTTCCCAAGTATTATTTAAGAAAAGTCACCTGGGAATAGATACAATTTTATCAACGACCTTTCTTGTCCAGCAATATCGTACCTAGGTCTCCTTGCTTGTTTTCATCGGCCGTGCTTTTCTTGAAACGACAGTGTACAACGTTGCAAAGATTTACCTACCTGCAGTCGATGGGTTCCAGATTCCTTTGAGTTGACATCACGCAGTTGTTGTCAGCAAAGGTTAGATAAAATATTAGAATCTTTCGTAAAAATGGAATATTGCTTTAAGTTTATTACCTTATAAATTATAAAGGTGTGTAAAATATTTTGATCTGTTTTCACTTCAGCTTTTACAAACAGACTACCATAGAATTTCAAACCGTAAAATATTCATCTGTGTACGAGACTGCCGCATTGCACTATTCTTCAAGCATTCTAGATTTTCGGAAGTGATGGGTCAATTTTTGGCAGGAAATTTCTCTTTTAGGTCAGATAATTTTTCAGTTTCTATAAATTCGTATGCTAGAAAATATTTTCCAAAGCCCCTTTACCGAGTTGGATTTTTTTAGGAGTGACTGAAAAATCTGTGCACGTTATTTTTCCTATCCAAGGGTTCCGGAAGCACGCCATCAGGTGTCAACTTTCAGGCTCTTTAGGGCCAGCAAAAGGGTAAGAATAGCCAATTATTGGCGTTTGTGTGTAAAAGATAATTTGCATCGTCCGATCACTTTCGGATCTCTACCTTACCTTGAGATTGAGAGTTATGTTGAATTTGGTTATACGCATTCAAACCATTTGTGCCTTGTATTATGATTTCACCTCATTAATGATTTAAGTTTCCTGGAAAATTATTACGGTCATATTCCTCTGTTCACTTAGGCCACCTATGTAATAGCCTATCCCGGGGCGAACAATGCTGGTCTAAGGCGTGAACGGTAGGACATTTTCCTAGGAATGTTCTATTTAAGGCTATCGTATCAAGACTCTTTTGGAACTGGCTGCGGCCTTTATTACAACTATTTATTTCAGGCCACAGCCAAATAGTTTGGAAACCGCCAGAGGTCTGACTCTGTACGGCAGATACAGTATGTGAGGAAATACTGCACTGTTTCATAAAAGCGTAGAGTCTCACACAGATATTCATGCATTTAGAGCTTTTACAGATTCACTCTTTCAGAAGCGTTGCAGCCATTAAACAAATTGGTAATTACCCTCACCATGCCACCGTGACGTTGCGACCATCTTTCACTAAAGCTTGAAACTTCTCGCACCAGAATACAAGTACATTAAGAAAAATTCATATGTTGATCTCAGTATAAACACACTTTTTTTTAAACTGACGATGACTCAGGCTGCTCCATCTCTTAGTCGTTTATTAATATGACACTGCCAATACAGAGACAATTTTGTGTTGTCAAACGTGTTGAGGAATATTTGGGACAAATAGAATTATCTGTTGTCATGGTGACAGCATTACACCAAAGCAGAAATCCATAAGGAGGGTATCGGTCAGGCTAACAATGTTTCCATTTTTTATTAAAAAGTTATACGTATTCCTACAACTTATACAACTTCTATGCAAAACAATACGATTGATTGTATGAAGTGCTTGGTAAAGACTTCCACTTAAACGGTGGCGTAACTACAGGGAGGGGGCCGAATGCTCGTGGCCCCCGGGTGCCCCCCCCCCATTTGAAATCCATACACAACCTCTGCTGCAGCTCATTGTCTTTTGGTGCCCCCTTGAAGGAAATGTGTGCACCCCAGGGTGCCCCCCGGACAAAATAACCCTGGTTATACGCCCTAGCCTGTAAAGCCCGAGCTAGTGCCTACCGAGGTATAACGTTTACAACTGATTTAACGTGAGGCCCAAGTTGGACTTCAAACCAGTTTTGGTAAAAGTGGCGTAAACTAAAACAAAAAAAATCTTTTACCAGGGCCTTGTTGGTTTTATAACCAAGACATGCTATTTAGTCATGATGACCGAGGCTTATGGTCCTACTACGTATGTTCTCAAATTTTCCAAATGTACGCATTTATTTAACGTCTTTGATTAACGTTTTCATCAGCTCGTCCTGTAGACAGTTCCAGGGCATGTCAGGCATGCATAATTCATTGATAGCACGAAAAAGATTTCCGGAGAGATCAATGGCAATTTTATTTATCATTGGAACTTGGCCTGTGATTTAATGAGGACCTAAGCGAACTCGCTCAGCAGGTGTTCTCCAAAGGCTTTCATGGCCTCGAAGGTCTCCAGACCAGACTCCTCGATCTGTGAAGCTGGGAGCAAGAAGCCATATCTCCCGGTGTCTCGCAGCTCTATCACGTAGGAGTACTTAGCACCCAACACGCCAAAGCCCCAGTCCACACTACACCCCGACGCGGCATCTGTAACAAACACAATCTCTTGACAGTAGCCATTGACAAAAACTTATATTATGACTGAAACCTGCCTATATCATTTTCAAAACTGGCTTCGCTGAGGCCTAAAGGTATATATCTCCAAGAATGAGCTGGCTATCTCCTGCACTGAAACGCACATATTTGGCAACTTTGTGAAACTAAGTAACTATGGTATACAGCTATTAGCGACCTTTGGGCTAAGTTCAGGCGACTTATTCTAGTATGTTCACGAACAGCTCGAGTTGTTCGTGGGTCGGCCTTTCGAACGCCGGGAACATCATGGCGGCATCCATGTACGTTCTTCAAGAGTCAATAGTTGGATAACTGGGCTGAATTCTTTTCTATCTGAAAAGGAACATTCATTTCTGTGTTATAGAACACAATTAATGCTGATTTTGAAAATTTTCCCATTGTCTCTGGCTTTGTACATGCATAAAGTCATCTCGCTATTTTTTGTGGCTGTTAAAAATTTAAATCTCACGAGTTTTTCCGTGCGTTCCTGTAAAACCCCGACGAAGAAGTGGTGTGTGATCTGGTTCCGAAAACAGTGTTAATTCTTGAGTCGTGTTCCCGCCGTTCGTGAGCGGGAACGAGAGCCCGTTGTCAAGAACTCCCCGAACTCGAGCATAGATGTGAACGTTATCCACGGACTTCTATTGTATACGCCCGTGGTGCTGCCTTGAGCAGAAGCACTCCCCTCATCGGAGTTAAACAGAGCCAGGTTGCTAGGCAGTTTTCATTTTTCTAGTAGCGACGCGACCGTAACGTGTGGATTTTATTATCGTTCAGGAATTAGCGAAGTGCAGTTCTGACCAAAGGAACTGGTCCAGCTCGGTGCTCATTGCAGTGGCATTGGGTAGAACTTTTGGATACTATGGCTGCGCATTGTTGAACCTGCAGACTCTTGATGAGGGCACATTTTGCAGAAATTAATTTAGCTTTCCCTCAGGGATGTTAATTTTATACCAAGCTATACCCTTCACCAACGAGTGGACGCAAAGTGTATTTTCAGTGTTGTCCGGGAAGAATAAAAATAAACCCAACCTTGCTCTGGTGGGATTCGAACCCCACGCATTCCTGCTTACTATTGCAGATGTCTTAACCACTCGACCCAACGAGCTTGATGCAATGTAAATACCGTATAAAAGTGGGGTAAATTTGTGCCAGAAATTGGGGGAGGGGATGGGGAAAGGTGGGGGATTACTTGCCCGACCATGAAAATTTGAAAAGCGGGGGTGGGGATGACACTATATGACCCTATATATAGAGGTCAATGTTCATGATATTGAAGAACATCTGTAACATGTATTCAATGTTCATATTTATTTCTTTTAAAAAATATTTTTCCTTTTTAAAGTGACATTGAATGCATTTTAAACGTTGGGAGTCTAGAAAAATACTTCACAATTCGCTTTAATTTTTTTTGCTCACCACAAAAAAAGTGTAAGGGGGATGTTTCAATAGCTCATCCCCATAAAAGTGGGGGGTATACCGCCCCCATTTACGTCAATGCCGTATACTCACATAGTGTGCGTGCAGAGGGTCCATACGTGTATTCTGTACCGTACAAAGACTTCAGGGCGTTTACAGTTTTGACTGAAGCTGTGTTCTGCAACAAACAATAGGTAAATGCATGGTTTTTGAGACGGATGCGTTATTTTGTGTCAAGGCAGCTGGTACAGCTTAAGGCAAAATGATATCAGTCCAGGTCATTGAAAAGAAAAAGTTATTAAAAATATAGACATTCCTAGATAGAGTAGTCTATTTAAGTTCCATTTTGAAAACTGTTTAACAAGAATTTTTCACAATGTTTCTACACTGAATAATATCTTCAAAGCACATTTCAACAGTGAGTTTGAAAAAAGGGTATTGATACCCAGTTACATCGATTTCGTAGCTTAGTTATGATGAATGATGGCAAGCGGGTACACTAATGAAAACATTGGCTTACATGGTCTGCGCTCTCCACTGGCAAGGCTGCAAACTGAGAGTATGACCAGGGGGAAAGGAAGAGCTGTGAGTAGGCGTGGAAATCGATGAAACTGACGAACTTCTGCCTTTGGGCACGTTCCAGCAGGTAAGACGTGGTGCTGGCTATTTCAGGCTCTGAATGAGCGAACGGTCCATGATAGGTGTCCTGACACTTACCAGAGCTTGCCCCCTGACCTGTGCAGGAGAGAATTGTTTAGAGAAAGCATAATATTTCTCTTGGATATTATAACCACCTTGTTCTTGTATAAGGGTAGACTGCCGACTGTTTGAAGACTATAATGGACGTGTGAGCACTTTATCAAAAGATAAAATGAGGTATTACTCCACACTCTCGTCGAAGATGGCTTCCAGAGCTAAATGGAGATTTTTTTCTGAAAATGATTTGTCCATTTTTTCAACGATCAGTAAAAGAATGAAAGATGGTATCACATATTGCTTCTACTATTTTCAATTCCTTTAAAAGGCAACATGTAATGCCTCAAATGGGGATTCTCCCCTCTGCTGGACTGAAATTTCAGTGGTTTCCAGATTGAAAACGTAGTAACCGGTGTATTTTGTGCCTTTTTTGACGATGGGAATGAATTGCATTTAACAAAACCAACAAAAAGAAGATTATGTTACGAGGATGCATTATCAACCTTTACATATAATTAATCGATGTTACTTCTGAAATAAGCCTCTTGTCGAAATTGGTGGTCTCTCTCTTTACTTATTGCATTATAAGGCTTAACTTAACACTGTTGAATATCTTAAAAATTTATATAATCGCCTTTGACTTAATCGTTTGCTTCAAAACTCTCATGAAATTAATCGTATAATTGTCGGTATCAGATAGATTACCAGCTTCGACTGGTGGATTTGGGAAAACTTAAAATTGTATGATATTATATGCAGATGGCATCTGTTAATTTGATTGTGATAATACTACGGTATTTAACTAAAGTCTTAAGCTCTCATCGGGATGAACGTGCGACATGAAACGTTACTGCATGTTTCAAGTCTAAAAAACCCTTCTGATCACTACTGAACAACCAAACAGGAGTCTGTATCCATGTGCAGCTTAATAAGAACAGCATGTACAAAGTACCCAATAAGTTCCTGAAATTACGCAATTGAGGATCGTTAAACGCCAGACGATTTCTGGGCAGTCCCTTGCAATACTACTGCATGCCTTCGCTTTAGGGAACAAAATAAGTTGTTTTTGAGGCAACTCTTGTGGGCACAAAAAAGTCTTTAACTTTCGGTTCTCTCTCTCATTCACTTAATGTTACGGGCTAAATTCATTTAGGAAATGGTTTGTCTTCATAAAAAATGTTTGCAAAGGAGGTTAGAAAAACACGAGAATGGAACTAGGCTATCTGCGTACTCATCACAGCCATACATGTACACCCTCACCTACTACCGACCATCACAGCCATACATGTATACCCTCACCAACTACCGTCCATCTTACCTGCCCACTGGTAGTCGTAATTTCTGTTGGGATCTGTGCCGACACACACTTGTACACCAAACTTGGAGCGAGTCTTACGCCACAAACGATCCTATAAGAAAACATTTGGAAAGTTGTATAAAAATGTACCGAGAAAAATTAAGGTGTTGACAAACTGTCAAATCAAACGCCACGAAAGTTCTTCTTAATTTTAGAAAGGCAGTTGCGTTGAACGTGGGAGGCCCGAGCCAAGGAAAAACACTGACGGGGGAACTCGGTTGTTTCTCGGGGTATACATTATTGCCCCTCCGTCTCCCGTCAATAGAAACGTTGTGCATTTCTATTGACATTCACACCACTTACTCGACCCTTGGGTGATTTCTCGTCATGCTGCTTGGTGAGATGTGCATCAACCAGGCCGTTTATAACATTCAACTTAATATGCATTGGCACGTTGCCTACTTTTGAAAGCTATGGTTTGTATGAGAAGCTGCTTATAAGCTATGTATTAAAGGAGAAATAATATTGTGACTATCGACATAAGCTATGATACGTTAACATGTTGCATTTGCTTAATTTGTATCAAGGTTCCAGAGACGCCGAACGCTAAACGCTATATTAATGGATCCTGCTTATTTCGTCAACAAAGAATCTTGTTGAATTTGTTTCAATGGGAATGGTTCTAAGTGGCTATCAAAAGTCCTAACATGACGGCAAAAATGTAAATTTGAAAAAAAAGTTTCCCTGTTATTTTATAACCAATGAAACTCTGACTACCTGAGTCAGAAACTGTAAAAGTCTACTATAAATCCAGGAACAATCACTTTCAAAGCCAAATATGTCACTGTGTGGTAAAGACATACGTTTGTCCATGTGTATACGTAGCCATCAGCATTCAACAGGGGAACGATATAGATATCGAAAGTGTCCAACATCCTCGTCACGGTGCTGTCTGACCCATATCCTTCCGCAAGCTACAAGAAGAAATTAGTGCCACAGTGTTTAGGGTTATGTACATTAATCGCGGTAAGAAGTATCATCGCGTCCGAAAAATTCAAAGCTCTTTTATCCCTGGTTACAGGCCATTTTCAACGTAGAGTGTGCTTAAAAGATGCTTGCTTTAGGCAATTAATATCAGTGTTTTCCCCAAACACTCTAATGAAAATTGCCAAATTACTCGGGAAAGTACGTCATATGTTTAATGCATTTGTATAACAAAACTGCATTGTAAGTCCATCAAGCAAAGTTAGCATACAATTTTTTCATGCTTGGTACTTGACGATACTTGCCTAGCCAGAGTGAACATTACTTTGGAGAAGCCTGGCTAGCTAGTTAATCCTTTCGCTCAGTCTTCGCCGAATTTTTTAATCCGTTCCTTCCTAGTTTTGACGCTTGAAGTGCTGTCATGCATATTCAACTATGAACAATGCTTTCGTATAGTGTGACATTAGAAAAGACCAACCCACCATCTTAGCGATGTACATGACCGTTGCTGGTGAGATCCATTCCCGTGCATGAATGCCTCCTTGCCAGTAGATGGCGGGCTTGTTCAGTCCAGTAGAACCCATCTTTGAGATACAAGTGCAATAGTAAATGTAATAGATGAGATCATACGATCAAATTAAGTCCAGCAGCCACGGTGCGTTCTAGTAGTTTCAAACTGCAGTGTAACACTGACATTGTACTCTAACGGGTTTAGAATCCGGGTAAAGCGTGAGCTTTTCTTTTTCGCATTTCAACCCTCCTTTTCAAACTCCATTATTTATGTTGGAGTTAAGTTGTATGTATGACTCTCTCTACCTAGAAAACGTACCAAAATGGCGAGTAAATGAAAACGGCACTTGAAAGTAGTTCCAGTTAGTAAATAATTCAGTACACAGACTACCATAAAACTTAAAAAGAGTCCACAATGTGGATAACTTTTCAAACATAAGCTTTTTATATTGGCAAGCGTATATATACTGTAACCCATTTTAAGTATTTACACGTCTTACAAGATTTTATATGAGTCATGTCATCATGTTATAAACCACAATTAGGGGCGTGTTTGGGCGACCCTTAACTGGAAACATGTTTGTGACGTCAATGCATTAATCAGGAATATGTTAAGAGCGGTCCACAAAACGAAGAACCTAAAACGGTTATGTCATCTGACAGAATTCCAAGGAAGCCGACAACACTGTTGATTAACATCATCCTCACTCAATATTCGGCATGCTTCTCACCAGTTCTGCTCTCTCTTTTCAAGTACATTCAAGAAGAAAGTATCGCTTTGATTTGCTGCATATAGCAACAAATTTTGAAATATATAATTCACTCAGGTGACGGGCACCAAAAATAATTGTCTCTTTATTTTCCGCCACTTTGAACCCGGCGCCGAACCAACTCTAACCTTCGGTTCTCGGTTGGTCGGAACAATGACGTCAGAGGGGCATAACCGAAGTCGCAAAAACGTTTAAGCTGAAACGAGTTCATGGTTCGGGTCGCCAAAACGCGCCCCAGTATACCTTGATAGCATTGATGGCGCGACCTTCAAATGAAGTTGCAATCTGAAATTGTTCCACAATGCTGTTGTGCTCAGTCGTGAAGTCAAAAACCCATTGTTGGATCTGCATGTTGAAGGACAAAAATTAGTTACGGAAGTAAAATTAACCCCTGTTCTGAAACATTCTATTCTGATACAATCAAATCTGGTAATTCATGTACAAAAGTGACTGAGATACACTGTCCAAATTAAATGAAAGTCTCCTGGGATCCAAGGTACAAAAATCGAGATGTGAATAAATTAACTTGTCTCAACTTTTAAAAGAGATATGGGGATGTACACACTTTCGCTTAAATGGTATAATTTAAAGATCAATTAATTCAATTTTTTTTCAAATAAAATATGCACCGCACAGAGTCTCCTCACATACAAGTTTTTTTGTGTCAGGTAAATGGTCTGTTTATATCATGACCGTAAGATTATTTTCGGACACTAAACGCAAAACAATAACACAGCCTAGGCATGAGCATCGTCAATCACCTCGTCGTACGTGTGATAGACATTATAGTTAAACGACATGGCGCTGGTGGTGACGTCATGCTTTATCTGCGAATCAGAAAGAGCTTGGACGTCAGCAATCATGACGTCGTAGGAAAGGCCACGGCTCATCAGGGCTTCCTTCATGTAGGAAAGGGCAGTGGGTGGTACCATCACATCCACGGGGCGATCCAGACGGCCAGAGTTCTGCCAGAAGTCAAGCTGTGGCGACACGGTTCAAATGTGATAAGTGAAACGCCAAGGATAAATGAGCCGTCATGTTTAAGCCTGATAATGATAATCTACTGGTCACTCTCATTTTGCCTGCAACTCGTATGGGCGGCCAAAGTTTGCAGAAAATCACCTTTTGGCTGCTTTACAATTTTACCTCCAATTCCTTTAAAATAGACATTTGTCTCTTTGATTTTGGAAAGGGTTGTATTTTCATTTAGTATTCAGTAGAACGTGTGTTGTTATCTGGTCTTTTGATCGCTGTTTGAAATTTTTAAACTTTGTGAACAACTCTTTAACTTTTGTACCGGCGGCCAACCATAGCTTTAGTAGCCACTTGTAGAGGAAAAATACCACTCTGACGCCAAAGAGAAGACCGTAGGCGCTGTGCTTAAAGAACCCGTTGCGTTTAATGAGCGTTCAGCCAATGGAGAATTTAAAAATGGTTCCATTAAAACGAGTAACTTTGTAGTAAGAATTTAAAAACGGCAGAGTCTTCATTTAAGTTTGGTAGTTGATAATACAAAAGAGTCAGGAAAAAATACCAACGCATGTATCTGAGAACTCTCTGCACACTTTCAACGTCCATAGTTGATTATTTCACGAGTGGATTGATACTTGACATAAGCTGCCGAACGGAACAAACGTGCACATGAAGGCTTGTGCATTAATAATTTCAAGCTAATAATTAATAATTTCAGTAGCGTAACTGAAATGTTAATGTCCAGGGGTGCCAAGGGGTGCACACATTTTTTAGGAAAATAAGATACAGCTGCGAAGCTAAATGAATCAAGTGAGACTATTTACAGAATTCAAATTAAATTAACAAATCATAGGCCTACAGTCTTTGGTCTTGTTTCTCGCTCGTCTGTGTCTTTTTCTAATCCCATGTATTTAGCAGTTACAAAGATGCATGTAAATGTATATGCAAACTATTGAAAACAAATCATTAATGTATTCAAACTACTGGGAAGACGTCGTAAAAATATCATTTATGCAGGAGTTGGCCACTAATTAAAAATGAAGCTTTAGAACCTTACATTTCATTTTAGGAAATTGAAAAATAAAATGAAATTTTATGTTTTTAAAAATTTAAAAGGTGGCTCGGAAAGCATGACAATCATAACATAGGCTAATCTATTATGCTCTCATTCAACAGTTTCAATTTACAAAATAGATTCAAGGAACAAGTTTGAAAATGGCTTCCTCGTGAATAAGGTAAAAAACAATCGTCACTTTCCCGAGTTTAATTGGAGAGACTGCTCAAAAGAATTTCGTATTTCCGTGCTGAAAATATGCATCATCAGTAATCAGGAAACGATGATGAAGTATGACATAACTCCATTATGACCCCCCGATCCAAGACAAAACTGTTTAATAACCACTGAAACTTCCGAGAAAATGGTGAAAATGGAACTACGAACTCAGGGAAGCCAGTTGATATGCAATACCGGATGGGCGTCAAAAGCAGCATCCTATTTGAAGCGAGGCAAGAATAACGTAGAACAACCAAAACGTCATTCCTAAACAGATTTTGCGAGAGCGTTGTCATTCGTTACTATAATGCTACCATTGCCAAAACGTTGATTATAGCTGCATGGTGCAGATTATGATGAAATCAATTGCAGATAATTGCCAAAGGCTTGATTAGTATTTTTGTCGCAGTTATATAAACTATGAACAAAGTCACTACAATAAACTAAACTAACCCCGACAGCATCATATTTAGCCATCTACAATGTTTGACACTTTTTGCCGTCTCTGTTCATGATGAGCCACAAAGTTAGCAGACTTACCTTGTCGACCAGTCTATCTTTCAAGGAATTGAGCCATTCAATTTCATTGGAGTCGCGTGGTTGTACACGCCAAGTCTGATACCTTCAGAACAAAGCAAAAAGTACCGTGAACGCATCTTTCAACTGTTCAGTCATCGAAAACTGATGTTAGAATATGCCAAAAATAATAATTATGGAATACATACAAGTGTCAGTTTTGGCCTTCAAAATGTGAAAGTAACTGTATGATATACACGTACCCATCGTATCGGACTGCTACGCAGCATGAAACAACAGCACAGAAACAGAGAATAATTTTCATCATCTTGAAGCTAATTTGAAACTCTCGGGGCAAGAGTGCTGCAAACCGTTGATAATGATCAATGTCCGAAAAGTTGTTCCATCTCCGCATTTTAAAGGTGCATTGTTAATCCGTTTTTTTGTTTCGACAGTGATATCATTCTAACGCGAGTAAAATTTGAATTAGCTCATTCAGCAAACGCGTCATTCGGCCAGGCCGCCCACTACCGCATGGCAAAGAAACAGGACAGCTTTAGTGTGGGGCGAAAAAAAATTACATACATGTAATGCACAAGGCATCATGAAAACTACAGATACGTTATCTGTTTCACTATCCAATGGGTGTTGATCCACGTGGGACACGTCATCTGGTTTACAGTCTAAGTGTAAGAAATGATATATACTGGTACTAATTTTCTTTGAACAAATACTGAGCCATGATTATGGAAAGACCCTGCAGGTCAATGCAGATTTCGCAAGAAATTATACAATTTGCTGGTATAGCGGCCACATAGCGGCCACCATTGCTATAACTCGATCTGTTTTGATTAAACATTGTTGATTGTGATGTGTCTGTGGTTCGAGAGTGAACAACAAACATTGCAGCTCTGCGGAGGCACCGTATGGTTGTGAGGAGCTGTTAAACAGTTTCACTGCTCGACAGCGGAACAATACAACCTTTTGACAACAGTCTGGGAAACACCCAAAGCTATATATGGTATTACGATCTTTCTGCATTTAGATTCCAATTTTCGTTTTAAGCATAGGCCTATCTGAAATTAATAGATAAAGGTCTGTGCATATTGTTTCAGTTAATTTCAGCTAACTCAAATAGAATGGACTGAGCACATAATCAGTACGTAGGTGTCAATTTACAGCGTTTTAACATTTAGTGTAACATGTAGTTTTACAAAAATAGGCTATAATTGCTGTTTGTAAACGCAAAGCACTATCAAAATATATTTTTGCATCTTATACACTAATTAGAAGTATGGATATATACATGTTTGTTTGTTTGTTTGTTTGTTGGGTTGTTTGCTTATAAAATGTCTTCAATTGTTGTCGAAACTGCGAAAGACTGAGCTTGGTGTTAACAACCTGGAATTAGTGATCGACATTTCCGGGTGCACGCGATACTGCAATCGGAATGCATGTTCAAAGGTAAGCAAACTGTATAATTGACATTTTAATGAGTGACATTAAAATACAAATTTTGTGAACGTGAGATCAAGCCTTGTGCTGTATTTCCTGACCCACTTGTGCATGTAAATGCTTGGAAAGGTATACAAAGAAGCGCCCTCTTTGTCGACATGGGGCCCCTGTACTCCGTCAGGTCGTGTCCGAAACGAGCATCCAGATCGAGCTAAGGCTACGTTTATGGCAGCATGCGCTCACACATTTTGAATGGGCGAATATAGCTCTAGCAAGGCTATGCAACCCAAACATGCGTACCAATTTCGCTTGCTGTAGAGACACCAAGACAGCAAAGGCTGATACTTGGAAGACTGATTAATGAGTTGAAGCTAATTTAGCTCAGATATTATCAAGATAATGACTTTCCGTTAGTGATTCCTTGGCCTTAAAACGACTACAACGTTATGCCAAACTTGTTAGTTGTCCAAAATGAAATGGTATTCGATGCAATCAATATTGTCAGAAAAATGCTTTTCTTTGCAAATTCACAGTTAAAAAAATATTTCTGAAGTTTTCTTTGTTTTAGTTTGCGCATTGATCTCCACTTTTGCACAATTTTGACTACGGATGTACGCTACACCTATGGTGGTACGGTGGGGGCAAACTAAGCATTACGTCATACTCTAGTTTTATGATATTTTTTATGGATGCGTTCGAGCGAGCCACCTCATGTTAACACACGTACATGTATACTCCTGAGTGCTCAAACGGCTGAAATACGACCCGAGGGTCAGCGAGAGTATATTCTCGCCAACGGGGAGTATATACTTCTGCACCCGGGTGTAATCCTGATCGTGTTAACATGTGTAACCGCATAACGTTACTTCGGCAGGAAATGGCTTGGATTTGTTCTCCACACGCAAAATCGCTGCTATCTACACGGTATACACGTATTTGTACCTTTGCGCAGGGGCGTTGGTTGCCTCAAGCCCACCTGCGGATGATACATATTGTAACGGGTATACGGAACTTGACCTGCACTGGGCCTAACAAATCCCTAAACAACCCGCTTGGACTACCCTGGGGAATCGGTGACGCTTACTGAGCTACCCGTTCACCCACAGCAGTGATGATGTTGCCACACACTTGACGACAGGCTTTCACGTCAAAGCCCGGTATAGACTTCATGGATGAGGAAACTGGGAAATGGAGGGGTAGGACTCTTGGCGCACAACACAAGGGGAAAAGTTGGAATTGGCCAGTTGGAATAATCTGAGTCTGTCTGACCCTAAAACTTCACTCTGAGGCGGAATTCCCTAAGACAGACAAAGACAGACAATTCAAATTTTAAGGCAGTGGAGAAATATTTCTAGAATTCTTAATTATGCTTCTGATTTATTTACATTCCAAATCATTACTCAAGTTCAAGTGATTCTTCTTTGTCAGTTGAGGTGAATTCAGCCTGCATACGTCTCTACGTTTGTTCTAAGCCTCAAGATTATTGCTGCAACTGCGCATGTAAGCTATAATAAGACTTGTAGCCAGTGATGTAGTCGAGTACTTTTTGAGAACCAAGTTCTCTACCAAATATTTACTAATTAGGAGGAAACAAAGCTAAAGTACATTGGCATTTGACGGTACATGCATAAAGGTAAGATTACAAAGCAACATAATGACTTCAGACCATCACTGTTTGATTAAAATTAACTTTTTAGGAGAAAAGTACTCGGCGAGTACTCGGCCGAGTACTTTCCGGGTACTTTTCTCCTTAAAACTTAAATTTCACACAACTGGGAGTGTCTGAAGTCTTACATTTATTTTGTAATCTTACCTTTGCACATTTACCATCAAATGCCTGTGCACTCTGGCTTTATTCGTCACAAAGGCGGACGCGCCACGATTTGCAGGCTCCCATTGAGCGATCGCAGAGGTTGCGCTTTAACTTCCAGTTCCATGGTTCCACATAAATGGCGATACTTCATGTAACCCTATGTGCAGTGTACGTATGCAGTGGGCGTGGTTTAAACTGGGGTGACGTCACACTTACGGGCCGGATAGGTTAAGTGAACGTGACGTGCCTCTAACTAAACGCGCACGCTCATGCTCTGCGTTCCTATCGTCGTTCCCACATAAAAACACACCCGCTCGTTTTCGTGCTCGGAGCGGATAGACACCTGTGTTGTGCATAAGCACTGATCTGCTCCAAACACCAAAAACAATTTTAAACAGCTAGCATGCGAGCTCGACAGTTTGTCTCATGGAACAACTGTTTCTGTGGAAACTCAAGGAAGCTGAAAAGAATCAGTTACCATATAACCAAGGTTTTGACTATTACCAAAACATTTATTCATAGTTGACATCGTACCATATTGTGGAAACAAGAAATGTAATAGGATGCAGAATATTAATTGTTACAAGGCATTTTGATGAGAAATCAATATTAATTATCTCAAAAGGGTGTCTGGTCAGTTAAGCTTCTGTGGCTTACTGGTGGTTAAACAAAATAAGTTTAGACTTTTGCTTCCGCAGTTTAAGTCCTGTAACAGAGGTTGTCATCTGTTTTCACATGTATGGAATAGCTTGATTTTTAGAGTAGCATGAAGATACAAGCTTTATGATGGAATGTACATGATTATTATCTACAATTGTGTGGAATTGGTGATCGTGTAGCTCAGGAAAGAGATTATGACGAGCACAGTTATTGAGAACAGATGATGCTATTGCTGCTGAGATGCCAAGACCTTGTGGAAGTTTTCCATCTGAAGTTTTTAAAAGTCTTTGGAAACACTTTCTTTTTCCAAGCACAAATACAACACTGTCTGATGCTTTTTGTAGACCCCCAGGGTCTTTAAGAGCCAAAAGCGTATGAATCTTGCCACTTTGGTCAGTCAGTGCCTTTGTCCATGACCAGCTGGTCAATCGACACTTCATCATTTTCACAACAAATCCAGCTATGTAACTGACTGCAGCTTCTTTGTACAGTTTGGAAATTTGGTACATCTGCATCATCATGATCTTCCTACATTGGCGGGGTTCTAAGCATAAGATCATATTTGCATGCTATGCCTACTGCTGATGGCGGCATTACATGGGGAATAGTAGTACATGTACTATCCCTTAGTACATGTATACAGTTTCCTGTGCCGTTGTTGACGTTGTCCCTATGTGATCTTGACTAAGTTTATATGTTAAAAGGTATTTCATCGGAGCATCAGGACTGGCTGTGCAAAGAGGTTTGGGATACATGTACTTTTGATGCTGGCGGCAAAGCCGATAAAGCCTGTCTTCCTTGGAGTGAGATGCATTGCTGTACCTGCTGTGTCAGTAAGACCTAGAATGAAGTGTTCAGTATCTCTTAAGATAATCAGCAAGCTATCTGCAGTTCCCTTTCTCATCAGAGCTTTGTACCTTTGCCCAGAGGTTTCCTGTTGTTAAAGATATCAAATGCAGCATCAACATGCCTTAAAAAGCACACTGTGGCCTCACAACCTCTAAACTAAGGGAGCTTTAACCCCTCGTTGCAGTATTGTTGGGCATCTGCTACACTTGTGCTAAATAGCTGCGCTGCCAAAGTGGCCTTCATTTTTTGTTTTCGCCGATCAATAGGTGCACTTTTTAGTTTATTACCTAATCGAAGTCCCTCTTGTTCTTCAAGTTTATTCAACTCCTCTATATATTGCCAACTGATGGTCTGACCATTTGAGATTTTGAAAACTCCAATGTCTGCAAATGAATTGCGAAGCAACTTCAATATATGGTATGCATCAAGAATAATATGTACCCGAATTGCATGATCCCGATGGATGAGGACGAACTCTTTTCATGCAAGCCCGAAATGCATGCATACGCATGCAGTAGCCAAGGTGTGTGTGTCGTCAGTGGAACTCCGGGCGCCGCCGCAATTTGCAAGCGCCTTTGGAGCTGTGTTTCCAGTGGTTTCTGAATTATTCAATATGCTCAACATGAATTATTCATATTTTTCTGAACCAGTCGTGTTTTGGGGGCTAAGTTGTCCGAGCATGATATGTCTGGGCTACAGTCAGTCCGCAGCGCCCTCGTTAATGAGGCCGAGTCCTGCAATTTCTTTGCACGACGCGCGCTGTGGGGGGTTTGACCCGCGAGACTTGCGCGTGGAAAAGCGTGAGTTCGACCAACCTATTTGTCTGAACT